ATCTAAAACCTGCAGGACACCGGCCGTCGAGGCCTGGAGTTCGACACCCCTGGTCTAGAACAAGGCAGAGGACTGGTTTCTAACATGATGTGGAGCGTTGTTCACTTCAGTACTGTTGTGGTCTAATAACGAGTACCAGGACTTGACTCCACGGAGTGAATACATCAAAACCTTCAGTAAGTGTGTAATTTCAGCGTGGTGATGGTGAAGTGTCTGAGTTTAATAACAAACTGGTCACACTGAGATCTTCCTGGCTGTCCAGGTCATATACCTTCGTCTCCAGACAGGATTTCCTGTCTGTAGCTGAGGGAGGGGCTTGATATCTGGATTCAGGAGATCCCAGCCCTGTGACTGGCACTGACCGGTACTGGGAGTGAGGAAGCTGGAGACAGCAGACTGGTCACCGTAGCTTTGTTTCCTGCCTTCATTGTTTAAGATGAGCAGGAAGGATGAGCCATCACGAAACCATCTTGGCTATCCTTTTTATTCTGTCACTCTGCTGCTGTGATATGTCATGTGGGGCTGAGCAGGAATAACCATTTAACAGCACAGTAAATCAGGCTTTCTGCAGAGCATTGAGCTTTTTGGGGCGTGTTTCCAGTCACTGATGAGCGAATAAAGCTCATTTGGACTCTGTGTCATCATGTTTGGGTTTGTTTGTCACGGGAAAAGGCTGAAAGAATACCAGTGACGTAAGCTGTCGTCCCTGGAAAGAATGGAAAAAATATAAATTCAGAAACTCACCTGAATTCTGATTTTTACAAGAAGTGGTAGAAGTACAGTGTTTTCTCTGAACGTCATAAATAACTAACAGGAACACCGGGATATTCCGTCACTAATAATTCACCAGAAATGGATTCTTTCATGCTCACACTTCAGGGCTGATGAAAGAGTAACATCTGTAAATGTAAAGACTCAAGTTTTGCCAGCCTGTTTGTTGCCCTGCATGCCGTAATTGTTACTTTATATTTTCATAATGATCCTCAGTTAGAAACAAACTGTTCTTCCAATTTCGTTTCTTATAGAATCCATAGCATTCTTAAAAGTTCTCCAGTCCACCTTAAATTACGTCGTAGACCTTTATTATACTGATACTTTGAACTGTCCAACATCTGCTCTTTCACAGTGACAGGAAACACCGAGCTGAGCTCAGAGAGCAGCTTTCTTCATATAACCACAACATGAAGAAGAAAAAGCAGCAGCACGTGAGACGCACCAAAAATCAGCATAAAAAGTTAAAAAATGTAAGAAACCTTCCAACATCACAAAGTTTCACTCTCAAACAGAACATCCAAGATAAAGAAGAAACAGAAGGCTTTGAAAAATGTGTCTGAAGATGCAGGATTACTCTGAATGATACGTGAGTCGTGTGTTTCTGGGAAAAAGATGAAGCTCTAGGAAGTACGGTGTTAACCGCCCCTGGTTTGTTGGGTGTAAACAGATTTGCTTGTGATTCTTAACACTTTGAGAACATTTCTACTCTATAAGTAGCTCAATGCTGTGTTTGCACAGAAAATATTGAGCTATCATGTAGCTTTGTTTAGCACAAAGATGGACTTTCCCAGTGGATGGCATGTAGAGGCAGCATTTTGGGGGGAGGGATGCTGTTGGGGTGGATGGTGGGTCTGTAAAGCCTGCAAGTGTCACATTACAGCGAGTTTAAAATTGAGATGGTGGTCTGTTTGGTTAAATGTGGGGCAGTTTGATCGACTTCAGGAAATAAGGTGGTCTCTGAATGTAAATTAAATTGCTTCTCACATGAATTTCTTTCTCTCGATTAAACCAAAGGACAGTCTTCTTCCTGAAACATAACCAAACACTACCAGGAGCAAACCATGTCTGGGAAACTGAGTCTTTAAGAGTCAGACTTACAAAAAAACTCAGATTAAAAAACATGAAAGAGAAAAAAGCTGCAAACACGCTGAAATCTTCACATATTTATTGATAATAAATCGGTGAAATTGTGGAAGTTCTACCTCTTTTAGCGCTGCAAATAAACATGTTGCACACATGCATTCTTCACACAGATTTTTCTCATTTTATTTTGTATCATTTATGTTTTCATTGTGTCTCATCTCTAAAGTTTATGGTTGTACTGATTTTACTGTAACGTGGTATTTCCTGTGGTTAAAGATTTCCGTGAACGCAAACAAGCGGGAGTCTGAGAGCTTCCCGGACGAGTTGATCGGGTGGTTTTCTGATCATCAGCAGGAGATCGATCAGCTGTTCATCCACGGTGACGTAGACAGAAGTGAATCAGTCAGCCTGAAGGACTTTGAGCTGGGTAATCCATCACCCCTGACCTGAATAATCCGGGATTTTCTTTGCCAGGATGGGAGAAGGCTCTCGGATTTTTTAACATTCAGCTTCTTTGAGTGTCACATAAAGATAATCGCAGAAGAGAAGGAGATATGAGTCAGTACTAAATGCCACAGTGTCATTGTGCTGAAGTATTTATGGAGGGTACTGTGAATCAGCCTCTTGGTAATGTCAGCGGAGCCTCATTTCCTCTCATCCCCCCTCCTCACAGATAAGAGTAGCTGGCTCTGGGAAACAAAACCAGGACAATGTTCCTTTTGTGAGTCTGACTTCAGACACACTGAGTAAACTTCCAAAGAGATTACGGCGCAGACCTGCAGCATAACACCGCAGCTATGACTCTGACTGGGAAGACCTACAGCACAGAATCACTGCTGTAGGTCTTAATAATCAATAAATTACTTTTACGGCACATCCAATGAATGTGATCATTTATAGCTTCATTTCCAGGTTTATAGATCATACACGATTCACAGAGAGACCTCAGGTTATCTCATCTTCTGAACAAAACTGTCTCTGCGTCTTTAACACGTCTCTCCATAAAAGCGTTTTTTTATTGGCCAGCATCTGGAAGCTTCGTGAGGGGCACTCGTGAGCTGCAGGAGAAAAGAGGGAATCACATTTTAAACATTAAAGCCTGCAGGGATTGCACGTCCTCATGTTAATGTTATTTGACACTTTGTTCACATTCTACATCAGCTTTTTATAAGCAAATAAGGAAAACGTTTGCAATTATTATTATTTTACTCTATTTTGTTTTTAACCAGGCATGTCACCATTTTATACTTTAGGTAACATTTTCCTTAGTTTTTAACCGTTTTAAGATATTTTCATGTCCTAAAGACAGTTACTCACATGTGGGCAAAATATGGTTTGTGCACCACGTGAATCTGGCCTTTGAAGCCCTAAAAGGAAAACTAAACAACCATCTAAATCTCGGTGCAGATGAGTAAAGGCTGTGCTGTTATTAAACTGGATTTCAGAGGAGGGCGTTCCACTTACACGTGCACGCTCTCTCTGTTTTTACTGTGCTGCAGGTTTGATGAGTTTGGGTGTCCCCTGTCAGCAGTTTCAGCTCCACATGCTGACTCAGCAGCTGAAGACCTTCAATGACACGATTAGTTATGAAGATTTGATGAAACAAATACAGTCTCTGAGGTGAAACAAACTTATTTCTCTATCAGTATTTGATTATTTTTCCTTTTTATAAGTTTATGAGTTTACTTGATTTGATTTCCCACAGGGACAGTGCAGAGCTCCACGCTCAGATACCGGGGCACTTCAGAAAAAGACAAGAACCAGTGGAGACAGAAAATGTAAAACATCAGCAGAGACTGCAAAACACTGAAGCCCAGAGGTATTGAGCTCATTATGTGTTATATTATATGAACAGAACGTTCATTGTATAAAGATAAAAATAAAGGTGAACGCAGTCTTGCAAATAAAAGAATCAGTGCTGTGTTTTACAAATACACAAACACAGATGTGACAGATGTGACAGATGTGGCTCTGGTATTTCATGAGTTTGTGTGATTTGAAAAATGTCACAGTTTTATTTTTGTTTTCTCAAGTTTATTATTTTGGCAAAATTAGCTGATTTTAGCATTTGGAAAATTTTCAAATAAAAAAATTAATTAATGTAACCTCGTTTTCCTGTTTGTGTAATTTTAAGTTTTAAGTTTTGTGTAATAAGTTTAACCTCCTAGGACCTGGCATCCACATATGTGGACATCACATTTTGGGTTATTTAGAGCAAAATACCTAATTTTTCTCTACAAGAGCCTGATATCCACTTACGAGGACGTTATACTGCCACTGTTCTATCAAAATTTAAAACGAATGTCCTCATATGTTGATCTCATTTTTCTCAAAATGAGGTAAAAGAAAGAAAAAATATCTTTGTTTTTACATTCATCAGGTCCCAATCAGCCCAAATAGCAAAGAAAAATTAAGAATGCATGCCATGAAAGAGTTCGGGTCTTAGGAGGTTAATATTTCTAAAAGAGTTAAATATTTTATTATTTTCAGAAATTTGACTATTTATAAGTTATGTACAATTTTATTATTTTTTATTTTTATTTTTTATTATCTGTTCATATTGCCTTATTTTCATATTTCTTCTCATTTTTATAATTACCAAAATAAATATAAATATTTAGTGGAATATATGGAAAAACTTGCCTTATATTTCGATTGTAAATCATCAATTAAAATTTAACTTAATTTTATTACCTAGAAAATGATTTAGAAAAAAAAGATTTACAATATTAAAAATATAAAACATTTTACTATATTTCAATATTAAGACAACCTTACTAAAGTTCTATATTATATTCTATATTAAGTAAACTTACTAAAGTTCATTTTCTGAGCACTTTAAACATACATTTGGCCAACTAATATAGTTATTTTGCAGGTTAACATTAATAATAATTTTTTTAAAAAGTTTCCGAGCACATTTTCATTTGATGAACTAAAAAATCTGAGTGATAGAAATTCAAATATCATCAACTGAACCACTTCAGACCAGTCTGTTGATAGAAAAGCACAAAATGGTTTAATCTTACTTGGATTTCCTGCTCAAACAGACTGAAATATTTCACTTTTTCCTTCCACTTCAACAAGTTGTTTCACTTTAAATTTTAAAATGTTAAGTCCACTTTTTCTTTACTTTGATCATGGTACATTTGAATATGTGAATATTTGCATACAGTGCAGACATGAAGCCACAAAATCCCTCTGACTTGTTTTTAGAGTAAGTGGGAGGAGCAGCAGCTGGTTTTGAAATATCATAAAGCCAGACAGACATTAGACATGTCCCGGAGAAAAGCAGTTTCGACAGTTTCTGTGGCTGCGCTGGGACAAACTGGGCAGCTCCTGGGAAACACAATCAGGCTGTGTTGACATTCATTCCAAACCTCCATGAGTGAGGTTAACCAGGCTGAGTTATTCCTGACCCTCAGCTGTAAATCACACTGTGACTCCGCTCCTGTAACTCAGACGCCCAAAATGACAACATCGGGACACAAGCAGCCTCAACAGCTCTGAAAACAAAGGACTCGGAGCGACCTTTAGCTGGCCCGCTGACAGGTGCCGTTGCCTTTTTCTGACCTGGCTGCTGTGATTGTTTTCCTGTGCCACAGAAGGATGTTTTAGCAGTAAATCACACACATAACATAATGTGCACAGCCCGAGTTGAGTTGAATTCACTTTTCCCCTCTTTTGCTGTACTGGTTTGATAAAATTAGACTTAGAGTCAAAAACATTACATTTCACAAGTTGATGTTATTTAAACCCACTGATTGCTTGATTACATTAGCAAACAGCATGCCGTGTCTGGAAAGTCTCCAGGGGTTTAGGCCTGGAGTTTGCTTCTCGGACGTGTGGTTAAGATGCTGAAACAAACATGTTTTTGCAGTATTTTCAGTATTTGCATTTAGCCTTGATGCGTTCTGTCTGATGTTAACAAAAGCTAGAGTTTAATCATTTCTGTTTATCTGATCTAACACGGAAAACACATCGAATGGTTAAACTGACATATTTTAATGTTTCATGAAAAACATTGGCTCATTTTGAAACACACCTTAAAAAACACTGGGATGGGTGCAGTATAAAGGCTGGAAAAGTTATGCTAAAAAGAAAGAATGGGAGAAACATTTTGTACCTAATCAGGTTAACTGGCAACAGGTCACAAATGGCAAATGTAAGTGCTGTGCTCTAAATTATTCCCTAATTTACTATAATGATGACGACCATTCAGACATTAAACTAGTGATTCAGACCAGAAATTTATCAGGACACTGTAAATCAAAGATTCTCACATTATTCTTAATAC